GGAGGGGAGCGCTGTAATTTAATATATGATAGACACACAAAGAAGTTATTGACTTTAAAGTCTCCGAGCCTGGCGAACGGGCTCATCAATCGCACCCTTTCGCAAAAGGGGTCCTGGATTCAAGAGGGGGCGGAGAGGGAGCAGGAATCACCTCTGGCTAAGTGGGGGCTGGGGTTTCGGCCTCTCCCGTGCCAGGAGCTGATTCCTGCCCAGCCCGGTGCGGCGCTGGGGTCACGGCGGGGGGAGCACTGCCATGCATCACCGCGCTCATCCCGCACCGCGCCGGGGCAAAAGCTCCTCCGGGTGCGGGGGGACGGGCCGGGGCAGCCCCCGGGACGGGCCGGGCTGCAGGGCCCCACCAGCAGCCGCCCCCGGTTCCCCTCGGGCCGGCAGCGTCACCGGATCCCCGGGCAGGGGCGCGGGCGCGAAATCCGAAGCCGGAGCGGAGCCGCACGTGGAGGCGGCGGCGAGCGCGGCCGGACAGCCCCGGCCCGGCTGTGTTACCTTTGCCGTCCATGGCATGCACGAAATCCCCGTGGTACATTTTACTCTTTAATTTCTCTTCCAAATTGAAACTCCTGATGCTGACAATTTCCTCCACGTCCGAGAGGTCCTCGTTCTCATCGTACCGCCTTCGGCCGATGCAGCGCTAGAAAAGACACAAAAACCAAAATAAAACACATTATCCGGAAAAGAAAAAATCGAGGAAAGCACATGGATCGTGCACAACGGTTTGATAAACACATTCTGGAGGAAATAATTAAGATGGCAAGGCACAAACTGAACAAAACCTGAATCCAAACAAGCTCCAACCCCGCTGTATGCACCTTTTCCATCCCGTGACACGGAACTCGGCAGGAATAACAGGTGCTTGGCTTCAGGAAAACTCAAACTTGGGCTGCTGAGCAGGGGCTGGCGCTGGAAGGCGAGCGGGGGACACGTAACTCGCCGACAATTCACAGGCTACAGCACCGAAGCGTTTTGCAATCCCGTAAAAACCCTTGAACGGCGGTAAACGCTCGTTAACGACCGGATCATTCTTTTAATTATTATTATTATTATTGTACGTGAACAAGAGCTAATTCCCCGGTGAAGGGAAGGGGGGCGAATCTTCGCATCTGATGCCCAGCATCCAGGTTTCGGTATTTACATAATCCGAGTGTTTCCATAGTCACACCGGAAGCGGCGATTTAAAAACCAGATCGCTTTATGTAACGCCGCGATGGATGCGCAGCCCCCGCGCGCTCCCCCCGCCGCCCCGCACGCTCGACAACGCCGAAAGCGCGGGGGTCCGCGCCCGAGGGCCAGCACCGAGCCCAATGCGGGGGGATGTAGGCCAGGCCCGGCCGAGGCCGGTGACGCTGCCCCGGGGAAGCTGCGGCGGGCGCGGAGACGGGGCTGGAGGCGGCGGGGACCGGCACAAGGTAGGTCCCCGGAGGAGCGGGGGGAGCCCGGTGCACCGGTTGCCGCCGGCGGCTCTGCCCCTCTCCCGGCAGCTCTCGCCCTGCGAACCCGCCCCGCAGCCCCGCGGACACGCGCGGTGGATCAGCGCAAACCCGCACGCACCGGAAAAAATAATGATCCATGATCGTCCCACCCTGCCCGTCCCTCGGTTCCATTCCGCCCCTTCCCCGCTGCCTCAGCCGCGCTCTTGCAAACTAAGTCGCTCCGCTGCCTACGTCCCACATGCATTTCTCCCTTTGCAAACAATTAAGCAAAATCAATTAAAAGGCACGAATAGGAAAGAGACCGAAGCCAGCTACACACCAATCTTCTTCCAGAGTCTTTCTTTGCCTCCATTTTTTTTGAGAGTTTCATCACTTATTTGTCAACAGTTCCTGTCCTGCATATTTGGCCCAAATGGGGAGGAGGCAAAACAAAAGCCATCCAGGGCTCGCTAAAGTTTTGCAATTTTGCACCAGGACTTTTTTTTTTTGGGGGGGGGGGGGGGGGGGGAGAAAGGGGGAGGGAAGGGGAGGGGGGCGGCGGCGATGCCTTTTGCAAAGTCCTAAGGAACCATGTTCAGGCGCTGCGTGCGGAGCGGGGCGCAGGCGTCGCAGTGCCCGGAACGTAAACAGCGGCGGGGCCGGGGGGATGGCGGGGGGGCGGACCGGGGACACGGCGCGGTACCGGCTGGGCTGGCCGGGGCGGGCGGGGTTGATGTCCGGGGGCACGGCACAGGACCGGGGCTGGGCTGGCCAGGACGGGGGGAACGCCCGGGGTACCGAGGCGGTACCGGCGCTGGGCTGGCCGGGATGGGGGCTGGGTCGGATACCGGGGCGGTACCGGCGCTGTGCTGGTCGGGATGGGGGGCTCGCCGGGGTACCGGGGCAGCACCGGCGCTGGGCTGGCCGGGATGGAAGGCTGGGTGGGATACCGGAGCGGTACCGGCGCTCTGCCGGCCGGGTACCGGGGCGGTACCGGCGCTGTGCTGGCCGCCGGCCCCGCCGTGCGGTGTTCGGTCACGAGTGCGCGGCACGCAGGCGCTGAGCGGCGGCGGGGGGACGGGGACGGGGCCCCACAAAGGCGCGGACGGTCCCTGGGTTGGTACCGGAGCCCCGAGATGTGCCCGAAGAGTTGAGTGGTTCTGCTTAACCCGGGGTAATTTGAGCTCCGCGAGTATGCCCGACCCCAACGGCGTAAAGCCGGGGTGAGCAGTGGCGAATTAATGCAGCAAACACTTGAAAATAATCTTATAATCCACGGACTTGGGGTTAATTGTAGCGGTGGCTTCGCTCCGTGCCTGTGGCACACGTGCGGTGCAGCTCGGCGCGGAACGCGCACCCCGGCTGGTGCCGGCACCGCTCCCGGCACTGCACCCACGTGCCCTGTGAAAACCGGCCATAAAATCCAGAATGTGTTGTAAATAGCGCTGAACTGGTGTCAAATAAACCGAAATTGCTTTTGCGATATGCATGTACAACAGGTAGTTAGAAATCGCATGAAAAAGAAGAAAAAAATGCTACAAAGTAGCTGCTGATACAAAAAATCTGCAGGATGGAGATCCTGCAGTTCCTAAAACTATCGGCGGGTCTCATTTCCACAACACCCCCTAACATCTACTCTAAATTGATGCTGAGCAAGTATTGGGACCATCTGATTGCAATAGCAGGGTCAGAGTGCAGGTTTTGAACAGCCCCCAGGTTCCACAGCGTGGCTCCTCTCTGAAGTGACATCCTTTACTTCCCCTCCACATCCCCCAAGAAAGGGAACATCAAAGGGTACCCAAAGCAGGCTCGGGGCTGATGGCTTTGGCAGTGCTCCTCTGGTTTGCTTTTTGCAATCAGTTAAGCATCCTAGGTATTATATGAAATATATTAAGTGTTAATGCAAAATTTAAAACACATTAAAATTCAACTTTGCAGGCCTTGCCGTTGATCTCTTTGGAACAATCCCTATTTTAATGATCCATGGATAAAGGCAGGAGAGGATGGAGTTCTAACAGCATTTAAGGCAGCGAGCTTCTCCTTCTGATTCTGCCAAGAACTGTTTGCAGAATCTTGAAAAATCATGTAATCTTTCTCTAACATCTCCCTGTTTGCAGATGATTGAACTTGATTATGGTATGGAAGTGTTTTATAGGCTATATATTGAAGTGTGGATTCCAGATGTCTGTTGGAGCAAGTGCATTATTAATCCATAATCCTGAGGAGATATATACATATCTCGACCTTTCAGCCAAGATTACTCAATCTTAAAATTAAATACATGTGTACATCTGTAGGATTGAGGTCAGAATACAAGATAAATGGATGTTAGTAGAGAATCATCAGACAAAAAACACATCATCCATCCATGCTGCAAAAGTCTACCAAAAGAGACAGAACAGAGACATAAAAGAAAATCAACTCATTTTTCTAAATTTTTTTTTTTTGGACATGGACAATCTGAGACTCTTGGTGTATCAAGCAAACCCACCAAGACTGTATCCATCACATACACCTGGAAACATCAGAGAACATTATGGAAGTGTGGAAGTAAATGTTTCAGAAACAACACAGTTTCTATCTATAGATCTCCAAAAATAGAAGACACTTTTTAAAGCTTGTTTTAAGACAGAAATTGTACCTATTCAACTACAGTTCATTATACCATGGAAATAATCTGTGTGTCAATAAAAAAAACCTATCCCAAACTTAAAAGAACTGGAGGAAAAAAAGGGGACGGGAAATGTGTAGGTTGTGGGTGATGAGAATATCCATATCCACAGCTGCATTAGACAGGATAAAACCATTTAGAAGCAATATTAAATTCCCATGTTTTAAATTCGCACTGTTTTCCAACAGTGCCCAGAGCTGGGCCCCACCAGGCAGTGCCTGGATGGGACATCCCAGGGCTGACCCAGGACTGGCCTTCTTCACAGTCAAAAATATGGGAAAACACATCAAAATGCTCTGCTTTTTTGACACTGTGATATAGTGTCAAAACCACAGCATCAACTGTGGAAAGGGAGTGGTGGTCATTGGGAAAGTGGCTGGGCTGAACTCTGAAAAAAACACTAAAACTTTTTTTTGCTGGATGTTAATGTAGCTTAAATTATTTAAGATCTAATCACGCCAAGGCGCTGGATCCTGACCTCGTTAGCTCGGAACTGGGAGCTGTCATTTAATTAATGTTGTACTGCAGGGCTCATGCTGAAAGCAGAGCTGAAGTTCTCTGCTGGGGAAGGCTCTATGAAGACATGGGATCATTTCACCCCACTGAGCTTTAAAACAGTTCCCATTGCACAGAATGGACTGGACTAATCTTAAAGCATTTTTTCAAATACTGTTTATCCTGTAAGATCTACCATTCTATACTTTCTTTGCCTTGGGTTAGGATGGAAGATGAGATATTGAAGTATTTCTCTGTTTTATGAAGGAAGCTGAAATACAATTTTTCTAGACATGGTAGATCAAAATCTTTACCCTGCAAAATTCCATCAACTAAATGTTAAACTCTGCTGTAGATGAGATTTGCAAAGATGTTTCCCTTAACCTCCTTGGGACTGCTGGCAAACTTGTATTTGCCTTTGCAAGTTGAAATGTGTTGTTTTTAATGAAGATCTCCCATGACTTCCACTTTGTGGTGCCTCGATTCGGCTGGTGCAGTAACAGGAACAAATGGAAGTGCTGATTTGCATGAGGAGCTGGAGATCCGTTCTAGCAAAGCTGCTCTGCCGAGGGCAGCACCTCGGTGTGCTCAGCACCGGATCACATTAATCACAGGGTGCTCAGCCACCCTATTCAGCCTCCTACAGAAATACAGAAGTACATTTTTAGCAGAAAAAAAGAACTGTGAGTATCCTTGTGACAGTGTACAGATTTCTCAGGGCTTTCTGGAAAGAAACTTGGACTTCTGCCACCTGCTCCGATTGTGTTCATGCATAAATGATCCAGAGAACGGGTTGACATTACCTCTAATTAGGGGTAATAACAGCCTGCTGCTGAAAGGGCCCGTTCCCTTTCTCTTGCATGTACATCCCTGACTTTTCCTGCTTTAGGTCTGGTGGTGCTGCAGCCACAGGGACAGTCAGTTCAGTGACCCGGTCCGGCAGAAAACTCAGCCATTAAGAAAAAAAAAAATAAAATTATTTCATGAGGTCAATCCAGTGAAGTTCTGCAGCCATTTGATCGGAGCGATGCACAGGCTGGAGAGGCTGAGATGAAGGGAGAGGGCAGGCTACACCCTTTTGGTGGCCTTCTGCAATTGCACGGGTCACAGGTGACAGCAAACCCCGGCCCTGAGCCCCAGCGTGACTTCAGAAGAACTCCCCGAAGCATTTCTAAGAGTTAATTAAGCATGGCTGACTCTTTTAGTTTCAGCTCACTCCAGAGTGGCAGTGTAGAGGTTTGTCATAATGAGTGATAGAGTTGGAAATAATTTATCCTGTTTAGTTTGTACCTCAGATGGAGCTGTAAAATGGCCAGAAAGGGGAAAGGGTGCACTGCTGTGGTCCTCATGTTGATCCTTGATGTATTTTTTCTGTTTAACAAACTGATTTTTCTTTTCTTTCTTACAGGAACAGAATGTTTATTTCAAAGCTACAACACTGAGGCTTGAAATCTCAAAATGACACATGGGTCTGGTTTGGAAAAGGGCATGAGATGAAATGCCTTTGCTGATTCTCCAGGTCCTTTTTCATACTGTTTCTCTGAATGAAATACAAACTCAGCAGAACCTCAGCGTTTAATGCTGTTGTATCGTTCAAAGCCCTTTCCAATAAACAGGAATAAGAGTGATGGACAGGAAAATAGAGGAACAGTGAGCTCAAAGAGTCTATTTGAATGCAATTATTTAGAAAGACACTTGAAGTCCTTGTCAGATGTATGTCTCTTGCAGGTGGTTCTTGTTTTTAGAGAAATCTGATTTTAGGGAACAGGTCAAGACCTAGTGCAGAAGTACTCCCTCATGATGTGACAGTTCAACCATAATTTTGCACAGAAACAAGAAGAAATATGAACAATCCACGTTGGTTATGTACATGTACATAAACATTGGTCGTAGCTTATGAGCAGCAATGCAAAATATTTTTAAGTGTATAATTCCACAGGATAGAGACTTAAATGTTTTTCTGAGATGTGGAGGAAGTTCTAGTTACTGTTTTTGAGGGTTATCATATCTCCCAAGAAAAAAGTGACAAAAAAGTGATAAATCACAATTGGTTTGCTCTTAGCCTCAGGCACCAGTGGGAGATATATTGATTGTGGGGTCTTCTGTTCTGTTTTTTTTTTTTTTTTTTTGTGGGGGGGAATTAATAATTAAAGCACACCAAAGAAAGAGTAGGGTTTAATGATCACAGACTCATTTAAGTTGGAAAAAACCTTTAGGATCATCAAGTCTAACCGCTAACCTAACACTGCCAAATTTTAGCTTATGCTTGACTTCCACTCAAATGGATCCTACACATCAGTACTGTCACCCAAAAAAGAGAAAGATTGTGGCCAAAATTCTGTGGGATCTGTGACAGAACAGCAGAGGCTTTTATGGAAAGACTAAGTCAAACTCATTCTTCCACTGAGGTGTTTTAATGCCCCCGCAGATAAAAATCTCACCCGAAGTTGTTTATAACAAGAGGACTGTGTTTATTTCCTGAGAAAGGAACAAGATCAAATCTATGTGGTACAGGCAATGCCTCTGAAGACTTCAAATCCTTACGATTATTTTTCTTGCATGTTTTCACTACATCTTTTTAAAAAGAATGCCTTGTACATGAAAAGCATCCAGTGACCTTGTTGGTATCGAACGTTGTTCCCTTTGTTGTGCTTAAGGAAGTGATGGATCTTGCAAACCAGAAAGGTGTGAAGAACAAAGCAAAAATGTTAAAGACAATCAGCCGTGATTTTCCTCCTTGTAAATAAGGTAGAAAATGTCAAAACAATACAAACTAAGGATGCTTTTGATTGCTAATGGAACTAGCGTGGATTCATCTCCTAGGTGACCATCCATGTGCCTGTTAATAGTAAAAGTATCCTTGTCGACTATTATTTATATTGTTAAAATCCTATTTTTCTTAACTACAAATTGATAGCAACAGGTTTGTTTCTTACACATGCCTTAAGTCTCCTGATGCACAAATCAGGAGATTTGATGTGGCACAAGCAGTGTATTACCTCACCTTTTCAGAAATCACCTCCAGAACTCTGCCAAGTATTCATGAGGGAGTTCTGCTCTACACCTCGATTTTCCCTCTGTAAAACACAGAAAAAATGAATTATGGTTTACAGGGTGTATGTGAACCTGGTAATAAATAAATCTTTCAACACTGGCATGTGTAGATGTTGAAATATTCTGCTTAATCAACCTTATCAAGTGCTTGCTGATAAAGGCGGGTTTATCAGGGGCTCTGGGCCTACGAAAACCAGAACTACGTGACAAAGGGTGAGCTGAGTCAGTTTTAATTAGAAGAGAGGGTGGATGTTCTAACCGGTCTGGATCCACATGTTCTGTCCGGTCTGAACAGGTGTAGGTTGGATGTTTAAGCATTTTAGGACGGGCGACTACAGAAGGAAGAGGCTGAGGCACAGCTTTGTGTTTTGTTCTGAGGGACGTTCTGAGGGATCCTGCCCGCCCTGGAGGGCTCGTGCACTGGGCTGAGGGGCACAAACCCACCGGAAACTGCAGATTCCCGTCAGCGGCACTCGGGCTGAGCGTTCACCCCGGGAACGAGGCGGGGGCTCGGGGAGGGCCTCGGCCCCACAGCCCCCCCGGCCCTCAGCGCCCTCAGGGCCCGCGGCTCTCCCGCCGTGGCGCCTCCTGGCGGCGGGCGGCGCACGGGGGCACAGCGCCCGCCCGGCCTCAGGCTCGGGGCTGCCGGGAAGCGGCGGCGCGCGGCGGGGCGGGGCCGGGCGGCGCTGACCAATGGGAGGCGGCGGGGCGGGGCCGGGGCGGGGCGCGCAGGCTCGCGGGGCGCGCGGCGGGCGCGGCCCCGGGGCGGCAGAGCCGCGCTGCCGCCATGGGGTGTTAGCGCGGCCGGGCCCGCTCCGCCGGAAAGAGCCGCCACCGCCCGCCGGCCCCGCTCCGCTCCGCTCCGCCTCGCCTCGCCTCGCCTCGCTCTGCTCCGCTCCGCTCCTCCGCCCCGAGCCCATGAGCCTGAACGAGCACTCGATGCAGGCGCTGTCCTGGCGGAAGCTCTACCTGAGCCGAGCCAAGCTGAAAGCCTCCAGCCGCACCTCCGCGCTGCTCTCCGGCTTCGCCATGGTGAGCGCCCGGCCTGGCGCGGCGGGCGGGGGGTGGCACGGGCCGGGAGCGCTGCCGCCGCTTCTGCTTCTCCCGCCGGCGCCTGCTGTGGTGAGCACGGGGGGCCCGGGCCCGGCGTGCGGCACCTGGGGCGGCGGGGAGCGGGGCGGGCGCTGCTGCCGCCGCCCCGGAGCGCCCGGCCCGCCCCGGGCAGCGCTCCCGGCAGCTCGCTTCGGTAGCTCGTTTGTTTTGGAGCGCGTCCTGGCACGAGCTCAGAGCCGCCTCTTGGCTTTTATCTCCGCCAGATAATGCAAGATCTGTTTGATTGTCACGTATTTTGCCCGTGGAGGATGCTCGGGAGCGCAGAAGCCGCGGTGCGTGCCGCGTGTGCCGTGGGCAGCCCCGCTGGGTGCGCGGTCACCGCGCCGTGCTCCGCTGCCGGGAGCCGAGGGCCGCGCACGGAGCCCCGCACGCTGCCCGGGTTGCGGGGTTTCCATCCCGCTCCTCTCTCAGCCCGCACGCCTGGCAGCGAGGGCAGGGGCAGCTGTTGCGCTGCAGCTGCTTTTAAATAAACCAAGAAACAGCAGCCGATTAAAGTTTGTGGTGCCGCTCAAGCCCATCCATCATCAGTGCTTTGCAGTTGCGAGGTTTCTAGTTTTTATTTTAGGAAAACTTGAACGGTACTTGGTTTGGAATTTTGTGCGTCGTTTAGAAACGCTTTTTTATTCGTGTGTGTTTTCTTTCGAGTTTGATGTGAAGCGCAGTCTAGTTACCCGAATTATGTCATCTGCGAAAGTTCCGAATAATTTGAAATACAGTAACTCACAGACTTCCTCATCTGCCCAGACATCTGACATGCAGAACTGCAAACTCCCCTCAGCCCCTTTATGCAGCTGTTAAAAATGCTTCACGGTTTATAAATTCGCAATTTCACTCCTCTGACTTGCTGTATTTTGATTTTTTTTGCCCCACTTTTAACAAACTGAGTATTTTCAGCGGTTAAATCTGCTCCTTTCCAGAGCCATTGTCCCAATGATGCTGTTGGAAAACACAGCAGCCTCCTGACGGTCAAATAAATGTCACTGTCCTCCTTCAATGGCTAAAAACAGCCCAGAGCTCTCGGGGAGGTGGCGGAGCGCTGACTGACAGGCGGCTCTGGTCGTGCGTTTGAGCCGCTTCTCCTTGGGTAACGCATCCGGCTGGAGCTCACACGCCGCTTCTGATCCTGGGTTTTCCTTGTTGAACTCCCCTTCTGCCTCTCAGAGCAGTTTGTGGTTGCTTGAGTCAGCCCTTTACATTGAGAGAGAACGTGGGGAAAAATTTGTTTGTTGGGGTTTGTAAATTTTCTTTCTAAGGGAGGTCGCATCTCAGTGTAAATGCTGTTGTTTTAATGTCATACTTAACGTCTTGAATTCCTTGGTTTTTCTCTAAATATATGGTATGTGGACTCAAAATCCATGGATGTATGAGGTGAGGCTTCTACTTGTTTTTTAATTCAGTTCTCTAGAATTCTAGGGGTTCAGTCTCCTGCTGTTGAAAACTGCTGCTTTTGAATTTGTTGCTTAGGGTATTTCTGGAAATTCATTCCAAGTAAGAAAATCTCTAATTGCCAGAAATGTTACATGTGAACGTTCATATTTAAGTTTTTCCAAAGAGAAAAATCCACTTATTTTTCTTCCTTTAACAAGTTCAGCATGGAAATCCACCCATTGTGTCTGCACTGACAGGCCTAGTCCCAGTCCTCTAGCTAAGACTTCCTAGTCTTGGTTCAGAAGAGCTGAGTAAACTTTCGAGTATTTTTAGATGTCTTTTAAAAACTTTGCTGATCTTTTAGAGTTGTTCCTCTGCCTTGAAAAGCTGGGCTGTTCTGTCACGCCTGTGCATTGTTTACTGACTGCAGTTCTTTGGCACCTGATACTCGACCAAAATGCTGCTGAAATACACTCTAGGCTTGGATCAAAGCTGGCAGCAGCAATGCAGGGTCATTGCTCCTCTCCTCTCCTTATCAGGCAAGGAAGAAAGAGCTTAAGTGCCACGTCCAGGACCACCCAGTGAATTGATAGGAATTGTCAGGAGAGGAAGGTGCTGGTTTCCATGCCAGCCCCATTGATCCTTGCTCTTTGATTAAAGAGTGCTTGCATCCTCTAGTAGAAGCTAAGTTTATCCCCGTTGAACTGCTCCCTTTTCATGGACTATTTTTATGTCTAGCTGCAGCCATTTTGCAGGATTGGTGATGTACCCTGGTGGAATGAAGCATGCCAAAGGCATTCCTGGGGTCACTGAGGTGGAGTATGAAGCGCTCAGCAGGTTTCAAACCCTGAAGTGTTACATTTCCTCAGAGAAGATTAAAAACCTGCTTTACAATAAGTTTTGCTTCAGAGCCTCACATCAGGATTTGCTACCGTGTGTGAGCTTCAGAAACAGTTGCAGGGGCTGGTGATGGCAACTGCTGTGAGAGCTGAGCTCGCCCCAGTAAAGCTGAGCATTCCCTTCACTCAGGTTTCCATGGATGCTATCATCCAGTGCCATATGTCTGAGGGAAAATCCACAAAGTTTATAACCTCATTTAGTACACTTTTCCAGTTTATGGAGCCAGCTAGTAGTATCAATCCCCCAAATTGTTAGAGGTAGAGAAAGAAATTGTAGATTGTAGGGGATGTGTAGTACATTAAAGAATGGAGTTGGAATTCCATACACTGGTAGGGGCATCAGATATTTCTCACTTCTGTATTATAGCCCAGATATTGTTGCATGATCTTCCCTCTCATGCTTGGCTTTATCTGGTTTTATTTTTTACAGTGAATAGGCTACAGGCAGGTTATTTTTGTCTGAACAATTATTCTGAACTGTTGGCATCATTTTGTCACCAAGGATGCATAACACAGTAGCATGACAATTGTACAATATGGGAGTCAGAAACCATAGGAAAGTTGTTAAATGCCACTAGTTATAAAACCAGAGAACTCAACATCTCCTCCTGCCACCAATTAACAGCTTTGTGGAAATAACTGAGTCAGAACTATGGATCTGAATTATACACTGTGGTTGGCTTCTTTATATGTAGGATTCAGAGGTTGACATTTACCAGCCAGCTGTTTTCTTTTAAATACCTCTAGTGGTCCAAGCTGGCTGGGCTTTGTCTAGATGGGATATATATGCTTCAGATATTGAATATCATCAAAGAACTGTCAGCTCTTGCCTTTGAAATATTGCCAGTCTGGTCTCCTGAAGACAGCTTCAGTCATGTTCTGCAGAAGACTGACTGCAGGGATAAATATTTATGAGATTGATTTCCATAAGAACAGTTGGTGCTGAGGTAAGGATAGGTGTGACCTGGGGCCACTGGTGTCGGCTGTACAGGTGTCTTTGTCTAGTAAAGGTCACTTGGCTGTTCTAAATACTAAAACAGTCTCTATAGAAGTTAATAAGTGGTACTTAGCTGGTTGCTGGTAGAATAGCATGAAACAGTGGCATTTTGTAACCTGCAGGGAAGAGTTACAGGCCCAGTTTTGTGGCTTCTGCTTCCACTTAGCCTTCTGTACCACTCCTGCACTTACAGGTTACAGCTGTGCTGGAGAATCTTCCCCAGGCAAAAAGTTTCTTCTGTTCCAGTCACAAAAGGAAAGTTTTGTGCCTCCTTTAACATCCCTGTCTCGGTTATAGATGAGCAAGACAGGCAGTGTGGAGTGTTTGGGCTCCTGCTGCTCTGCCTTGGAGCAGCTGTGGGTGGCTGCTGTAGTTTGGAGGATGTAAAGAGGATACTGAGCCTCTGGATAATCTGAACTTGTATTTACTGAATGGATTTGCTGTAAGTTACACTGTGTAGAAGAATTACCTCCTCAAGATGCATCTGCTCCAATCACACAGGTATTGCCTTTTCATGTTTGCTAACAAAATAACATGAGATCCTGTATTTGTATTCCAGTGTCAGCAGCAGCAAATATTAATGTGTTTTGCCATTCTGCAGCAAGCAATCTGCAGAGTCTAAATCCTGGACTAATGGATGAATGATGCTTAGTTTCCCTTCTGTATAAAACCAGTAAATAAGATCATTATTTTGACTTATCTGCTTTTAATTTCCGGTGAGTTCTTCTGGCTCATACAGAGCCTCTGTATGAGTTGTTTATAACTCTTTATGAATGGTGCAGACAGTCTGTGAGAGCCTGGCTCTGTGCCTCTGTCTCTGGAGTGAATTGTACTGTCAGGAAAGCAGGGAGCCAGCCAGAGGAGCTGATTCCCAGTGATGCTCTGACACTCAGCTCATTATTGAGTTTCCTCCGGGGTCCCACCCATAGACAAGCAATGATGGATGGGCCCTCAAAAATGCAGTTGTGATGTTTGATCAACACAGCTTTCTTTTTAGCCATTCCTGACATGCTAAACTGTACAAGATGCAGTTCAGGATTATATTCCCACCAACCCGAGCTCAGAGGCATCTTTGTGGGGAAGGGGAGAGAGGAAGTAAATAATAAATAATAGCTCATAGATAATACAGATTTACTTCAGATAAGGCATTTTGCTTCCTTTTCTCTACAGCACTGTCTACTGATCTGAAAAAGATGTAAGCCTGTGATTTTCATTTAAGAGCAGGGGCTTTAAGCCCCTCTGGTCTAATAAGATATGGGAGCCTTATGAATAAGTAAGTGAAATGAATTTGGTCAGTATACTGAACTTAAAAACAAGTGAAGTGCAGATTTTTCTAGAGGGCAAGTTGTTAAATTTCCTGCAATATGGCTGTAATCAGGCTGCTGTGACTCTGAAATCCAGGACTGTTAAAGGCTTAACACAGTTATGTGTCAAAATTCAATTATCTTCTAAAAACATCTGAATGCCCACCATTTTTAGCCTTATGAGAGCTTCAGTCTTGTCATGAGTCATTTAGTTTTGTCAAGAAGCTGTACTTCAGATGTACAGCTTTGTCAAGAGCCGTAGTAAATCTGTCAGTCATATCTGTAGGATGATCTGAAGTTAAAGTTAGCTCTTCTTTGAACCAGGGATTAGCCCAGATGACCTCTTGAGGTGTCTTCCAGCCCACGTTACACTGGGATCACGCAGCAAGGCAGGGCACTTGAAGCACAGCAGCTGCACGGTCAAATCCTGCAGCAAGTGTTCAGAGAAGCTTTGAAAGTGGTGAAGGATCAGGTGCTAAAAGTGTTGTATTGGAAAGTCTGCAGCCACTGACGCCAGCTCCTGCCCTGAGCAGCTCTTCTGAACAAGCAGAGCAGGAACATATCCTGCCTGCAACGTTGGCATGTACCTGTGACTTCAGGCTTTGTATGAATTTGGATCATATCAGGTGACCTCATCAGGGCCCTGTTCCTGCAGGTATTACTTTACAAGAGCAGTTGTGATCTGTTTATTTTGAAATTGCAGCATGAGCAAAGGAGGGAAGAACTTCTGATACTTTGTGTCTCTGTTAGAAAACAGGCACAGGCCCTCATGGTGAAAAATGAAACTTTGTGTTTTAGGTGCCTGGCTCAAGCTTGGCTCAGGAAGGAAACTCAGAGTTGAAAAGAGTTGGCAGTTTTTCCTGCTAGTTTACATTGAAAGAGTTCCCAAATTAGCTTTGCTGAGAGTTTGAGGAGACAGAAAACATGAACTGGTTTTTCACTTATGGGTCAGGCTGGGGTTACTCTACCAGACAGGAACACAAGGAGCTCAAAATCAGATGCTTGATATCATTAGTATGAAGGCGTTGATAAATGGAAATATAAAATGTCTTCAATGTTTGGCAAACTAAATACAATCAGTTCTTAAAATAAAACAAGGTCTTCATCTCGTGAAGCTCTTTAGTGCCATGTTTATGTTATCATACTAAGAACTAGGATAAAGGACTAAAGTGTCTTGTCATGCTGGATGGCTTTGAGTCTAGGCACAGCAGAAGACTTACAAGAAAAATCTTTAAGTATGAAAATGAATCCTCAGTGGTGAAGGATTGCAATTGTTCTGTGAAAAACACAGGAAGCCCAGCATCCCACGAGTACAGTGCGACTTAACGAGCAATCCTGCAGAACAGAGACCTGACAAGCAAATGTTTATCCTCTCAATCATGAAGTTTTCCACAGCTGAAAAATGGTATTTTTAAATCCTCGAGCAAGGACTGTATATGCATTAATATAATTTCAGAACACTTGGAAACTGCTTGCTAGTTGGCTGGGTTGTTAGGCTTATGGCAATAAAAGCTTTCAATAAAGGAATTAAACAATTGGCAAATGGCCTCGAATGCCTGTTGGAACATGTCTGAGCAGAACCCTGGGTGCCTTAATGTATTGGGAGCATTAGTGATTCAGAGTTCTGGTGTCCTGGAACATGGGTAAGATGGGATCCAGGACTAGGTTAGCTTGGCTCAGCTCTTGCAAAATAGTGAGGGTTGAATGTTCCTGCTGCTTTTGCAGCTGTCTTTGAGCCCTGGTTTCCATGCCTCCCTGCACCTCTATTGCCCATGGATCTTTCTTCCTATCAGCTTGATGTGCTTATATTTCAGATTACTGTCAGGTTTTTTTCTCTGCATTTTACCTGTATTTTGTCTGTTTAATGAGTTTTTTTGAGAAAGAGCACTGAACGTGGAGACCTTTGTGCATTATTCCCTCTTTGGAACTATCCTTTGTCTGAAAGGCAAATTTATCAGGAAAGATCATTTCAGGAGAGCTGTTGGGATTAATGTCACTCATCAATTGCACATATGCACAAAACCACCTGGCAGTTTTAAAACCAGCTAAAAGGCATTCTAATTAATTTTATTTGTCAGAATTATTCCAGCTGGTTTTATGAGCTTCCTAGGCAAGTTATTTAATCTGATTTTTTTATTCCTTAGGCACAGGCATGCTTGGAGATCTAAGGTTACAAGAAGGTCATGGCTGCATGTGGTAGTGGAGGGCTGGAACATCTTCATGAGTAGCCTCATCTCTGGGGGAGCAGTGATTCTTGGGAGCACTGTGTTATCTTTTCTGGAGACGTCTTTCCTCCAGCCTCCAACAGGCTTGCCTGGCTGCCATGGGAGACTCACATTTTGAATCTGTTCCAGAGTCCATTTAAATACTTGAGTGAAAGAATATAGCTGAGAGCCCCATGGAAAGGTGATCTTTCTCATGAAAGGTTTCTGCACTTTAGAACTTAAATGCAAATAGCCAAGGAGAAAGGACCACCAAGGTTGTTTCAGGCAGTCCCCTGCCTTCGCAGCCTTTCACAGATACTTCTAAAGACTTCATAAGTAAAGATCAAAAGCTGTGTCTTCAATATAACACAAAAGAAGAAATATTTCTCTTAAGGAGTCCAAGGATGCTGTTCATAAGTGTCAGCTGTTCTGCTGGCATGAGCTGGAGGTGGCAAGGTGGTTGTGGGTTTGCTCTCCAACAGAACAGTAAGTATGAAAACAGTGGTCTTTGTTTGATAGCTCAGACCTAAATTTGGACCTAATGAAGAGGGTGCAGATTGACATGAAGGAAATGTAAATACAGACTTACTTTGTTTTTATCAGATGATCTTCCAGAAACACGGTGTAAACTTTGAATAACCTATAGTCAAATAATATAAGATGTAGGTAACTGCATCTCTTTCCCCCTTCCTTTTCAGGTGGCTATGGTGGAAGTTCAGCTTGACCCAGACCACGACTATCCTCAGGGGCTCTTGATAGCCTTCAGTGCCTGCACTACTGTGCTTGTTGCAGTTCACCTTTTTGCACTCATGATAAGTACCTGCATCCTCCCAAACATAGAGGCTGTTAGCAATGTGCATAACCTCAACTCTGTCAAGGAATCTCCTCACGAGCGCATGCACCGGCACATTGAGCTCGCCTGGGCGTTCTCCACTGTCATTGGCACTTTGCTCTTTCTTGCAGAAGTGGTGTTACTATGCTGGGTCAAGTTTCTTCCTTTAAAGAAGAAAACTGACAACACCCCACAGAGCAACAGTTCTACCATCACATCAGGACAGGCAGCAGCCATTGCATCCACGTCCATCATGGTGCCCTTTGGATTGATTTTCATTGTGTTTGCAGTTCACTTCTACCGGTCACTGGTGAGCCACAAAACAGACAGGCAATTTCAGGAACTCAATGAACTTGCTGAATTTGCACGGCTACAGGATCAGCTGGATCACAGAGGTGATGCTGTCACCTCAGCTGTCACCAATTTTGTGTAAACCTGTGCTTAAGAAAATAAACCCACTCTTCTGCTTCTGCCTTATGGTGACTCCCTGTGGATGAACTGGTTGAACTGCTGATTACTGTTTAAAGAATAATTATAAATATTGTTCTAACCCTTTAGAGAGGGAAAAAATGTTCCTTTCATACAAGTTTTGCTATCTGAAGGAATGGATGGTGGGGTGTGATTGCACTGCATGTGCAGCCCTCCTCCTGTGAACACTGTCTCGCATCTTTCTCGTTAATGCTGAATGGTGGCTGTATAAATACATGGAAAATAACATTGTACATTTGGGTATTTGTTAGGAATGGATAGAGAAGTTGTGGATTTTTTTTCTCTGTTTATCTGATGTTGGCATTTACTAGAAGATACTGCTTGTCCTATCCATATTGCATGGCATGATACAAATTACTTGGGACATGCAGCAATTAGCGCTCGGTTTCGGTGCTAGCGCTGCTCTCCCTGGAAAGCCTGACAGATGGTAGGAGTGAGAGCTTCCCCAGCACTTTCCCCAGTATGTTTTGCTGCCAAGTAATTATTACTTTGCTGATTTCTCCAGTGCCTTTTTCCCGTGGCACTTACACATTTTGTAACTTGCTAAACACCCAGGACTAGACTTACTGCGATGTGGTGTGGCCACATGAGTAGGAATGAGACTCGACTCTTCTCTTCCATGGAAGAAAATAAAAGCAATAACTGTTTTTTAAAGTTCTCATGAGCTGGCACATATTATCTGGAGAGATAGATTTGCCTGTTTCTCTTTTAAGAATCCTTTTTTAAAAAGAAGGAACTAGATGGAAATTATCACTGGATAATTTTTTTTGCTTGAAAATCAGAACCACTGCTGTTTCTTTTCCAAGCCAAAGTAGTAATTATTTTATACTTTTATATTGAAAATATATTTTTAATAAATCCTCAGAAGCAAGCAGCAAAAGGTGCTTTCTCTGTGTTGGATTCCCAAGTAATTAGCTATGCCTTGGTCTTCCTTGTTTAGAAAAGTGTTCTCCTTGCTGAAGTGTTGTATTTAATAACTCATTTTACATTTTTGCTTCCAAAGGATCTGGAAGACAACTTGATGTATATTTATTTATGAAAGTAGGTTATTTGTAATTAATACTGCTGCTTTCTTTCAGACACCTCTGTGACAGCAAGGCTACTGTGTTAATTTCCTCTAAGCAAAAACCTCCATTTGATAAAAGGTTTGCCCAGGAAAGATTCCAGCAGTTGTCCTGGGCTGCTTCAGTAATTCTGGCTATGTCTAGGAGTTGAATTTTTTGGAGCACAACTCTTCTGTAGAGTAGCTTTGGGCTTTCATGGGTAAAAGCTGTTTTTTGAACACAAACTGAGACAAGTTTCAAGCCAAAGGGAAAAAAAAACCCAAACCTAGCTATCACTAGTCATAGCTATCCCTGTGGAATAGAAACCTGGGACTTTGCCATGAGACAGGAGGGACTGGGACAGCCCAGTGAGCTGTGCCTGACAGCCTGGGCTGAACGTGGTCACTCACACCAACCTCCAGCCCAGGTTATTCCAACGTGTTTGCAATCTGCACCAAGTGTCTGTGGAGTTCAAGTGCAGAGTGTGGTTACTACTGGAGCAGATGGGAGCTGATCTCTCCTGTCAGCAGCACTGCAGTGCAAAGTGTTGACAAGGTCACCTGTGGTGCCTTTGTATTCTAAAAACATAACTATGAAAAAAAAAAGCAAAACAACCTGCTGGGCTCTTTGTTTTTTTCAGCAGCAGTTGTGGTTCACAAGCAGCAAACAGCTTTCCACTTGGTGTTTTCACCTGTGAAGTGAAAGTCCTGGCGTACAGAGGCCAAACTGGATTTTCTCAGCTCTGCCATTACATGCTTCAAATATATTCTATTCCTGATGTAAATCTGATGGTGAGGATTGTAACTACAGACTCACAGGTGTTTGTTCATGGAGCACTGGAAGCGTTGCTTTAGTAAAGGCAATAAGGAAGCAGCATTCCAAACCACAAAATGTTGGTAGTAGGCACAAAATGTATTTTCCCATTCAAGACAGAACTTTACCAGTTCTGTCTTGGGGAAGCAGGCCCCTAAAATTCCCCACTAAAGGAAGAAAACCTGACCTGGTATTCACACCAGAGCAACTGATTGGAAGGGTGTGGTCAGGTGTAAAAATTGTACTTCTTTCTGTAAATTTTATATTTAGAAGTTATGTGGTTCTAAATGGAAGTCCAAAAAATCAGTTTTCTGAATTTATTTTGTAAAATTCCTTGCTGTTCTGGACAAGTAGCTGAATTTTTCTTTGATTTGTGGATCTTTTACAAAGTGACTAAGAAGTGTGGGATTTTCTTGTTGTTTAAGACATACACAATTAGAAGCTAGTGGGACATGGTTATTTTTAATTTTCTCAAGCTGGTAGGCTCTGAGCTAATGGCACTGTTATTACAGCTAATTTTCTGACTATTTTCTGCACTTTAAGCCATGATATCAAGTATGTTTTTGTCATTTTCCACCTGTGGAAATGGTCATGAAAGTTACACCTTGGGTACCTTTGTCACTGTGTACCCAGGCAGTAACCAGACACAAACACATGGATCTAAACATTGAGTGCACTTAAAATTTTTTATCCCTTATTTATACTAACTATGGTGTTAGGCATTTACCTCAATCATTTTAAACATTGGTTATTGTGTATCACCTATTTGGGTATAAAATACTTTCATGAAATAAAATATACTCAATTGTTGTGGATTATTTTTTATCTAGAGGCCTTAAATAGACTTATTAATTGAAACATGATCTGTTGTAACTGCAACAGTTGGGGTCACAGGTGTGTATTGGGCTCTGTTTGGGTGGAGTGGAGAACACAATTACTTGATTGTACTTTTCTATATGCTTTTAAAACACATACTAGAAACCCTCCTTCTCTAAAGCAAAGGCCTTGAAACCACCAGGAGTGTGATTTCTTAGCAGGAGGAATAAGAGGAGCTGAGCAAAGAGTCACTCTGCCTCTCTTCCATCCTTTTGGTGCTTGTCTTTTGGGTTTTCCCCATTAATTTTTTTCCTTTCTTTTCCAAAATAATGGGGGTGGGAGGACACTGCTGAGCAAAGGCACCTGCAGAGGGAAGTATACCTGAACAGCCTTGAGGGAAGGGTGAGGCAGCCTGCAACACCAAAACCACGGGGAGGGTTTGACACTCGAAGGAATAAATAACCCAGGATCGTGTTCTTGAATTATTTTTTTTTCTTCAGCATCTGGTTATTCATTATGGCTGTCATCAAACATTGCCTGGGCCTCTGCTAAAACACCAGCTGGATCTTGTAGTTTAATCTAAATAAAAAGAATACAAAGCAGTTATGCAGTGTAATTGAAGAAGCTTAAGGTTTTATAGATCTTAATTTCTTGAGCATTATTGGAGAGTCTCCCACGTATCAGGACTTCAGCTCATATTGCAGCCTTTCAATTATTTAGAAACAACTACACTCCCCTAATTTTATTAGTGTGCTGAACATCACTTTATCTCCTTGAAATAGCTCTGTGTGAGTGACTATAACAAAACACACTCTTGGGCAAAAGTGGCTTTGATTTGCAGCCTGTTAGGCCTCACCTATAATTTTAATAAAGGGGGTGGTGGTGACAAAAGTTTATGAAAACCTGAATTCAGTTTTTCTCCTTTTATCAATTACTTCATATTCTAAGGTGAACAGATCTCTACCCATTGAAAGCACAATAACAGCAGTGAAAGTTGATGCTTTGTTTTTGCTTATAGAGCAGAAGAGATTTGGATCATCACTTGGTCTTCAGGGAGTTAAATAAACAGCCAGACTTGCACATCCTGCCTTGGTGTACCAATAGTTCATCCCAGGCTATTGGATTGTTGAGGCTCTTCTCAGTGACCTTTGACAAACCACATATAGTAAATATTTTTAGCCACAGAAGTGCTGCTCCTTTCACTCTTTTTGCAAAATAGAGATTGTTTTTCTCTGGTGGGTGTTTGGGGTTTATTATTCTGCACTGCTGTGGGTGTGCCTGGTACTTACAGGATTAACTGGTTCATCAAAACTGTGCTCAAAGGGGCCTTTGGCTATGGAAAGCAGATTTGAAAAGATAGAGGCAATGAAGATGTAACAGCTGTGAGCTTTGGAAGGCTGCATGTGCCTGGTGTCACTTTGAACAGCCCTGTCCCTGTCCCAGAGGAGGGTGGGTGGCTTTACCTGTCGTGGGGCTGTGCTGTTCCTGAGTTACTGGAGCAGTGCTGAGCTGTGATTATCCAGGGTGGTTCTGCTTGGCTCTGACTGAAGGGGAGCTGCCCCAGCCCATCCTGCACTGACCATTTTGTTTCACATCTGTGGTTTGCAGACCATGAGGGCTCAAGCTGAGACTCTTAGGGCCAGCTCTCACTTGGACTCACATCTGTTCACTGCTGATTCCCATTTCCTGTTCCTCCAAGGGCTCAGAGCTGGGGACAGGCTCTCCTGTCCACCAAAGTGTCGTGCAAGGACCCGGTGGCTGCCAGGCTGGTGGCCCAGTGTGTCTTTGTGTCTCACCAAATCTTTGGGATGAGGACAGGGCCTGGCTCTTCCTCTGCAGTGTGTGTCAGTCGAGGGGAAAGAGGAGCAGAGGGTGTGGGCTCTAGGACACCTTCTGCCCCCCTTGGGCCCAGCTGGGAAGCTGCACACACCCCTGTGCCCCCAGGGCTGCTGGGCACAGTGGTGAGCCCCTGACCTGGGGAAAGAGCTGCTCTTGGCCCTGCAGGGTCTGCTCAGCCTCAGCAGCTGGGCTTGGTGAAATCATTTGGTCTTGACACAAATCCCACTATTGTCTGTGCCTCTATTGTCCCCATTTCCTTTGTGCTGCATCAGGTCTCTGAGCAGTTCTGGTGCATGAGAACTGTGTTTTTTCAGATGTAGGCAGGTGGGAGGCTCCAGCAGAGGCTGCATGAGCTGTTAGTCCCTATGGGGCCATTTAGGATGCTGCTGGCCAAAAGACTCTGAGCACACACCCCATGGGGGAAATCTCTTGAGAAGTGAAATGCTACCTGGAGAGCTGACCCGAGCACTGATGAACACAAACACGAACATTTCCAAGCAATTACCTCTGGGAGTGGAAGCTCAGGAGGGGCTGGAGCGTTTTCTCTGCCAAATTCAACCAGAACTGCACACTTTGGTATATCAGCTACCCAGATGCCTTCCAACAGCTGTCCCTTATCTGGGTAGAAGTATTTCCCTGGGCCATGCTTCTTGCCATCTTTCCAACCTCCATTGTACCGATTTCCATTTGCTGCAATTAAATACATGAACAGATCTTGAAATTTGCACCATTGTGTTAAGGGGTTACAAATTAAACCAATCAACAGAGCAAACCAGCAGAGGAGAAGATCATGTGTTTGGCTCCTCTTAGTAATTTCAAGGTGGCTGTGGTGCTGTGTGACATTTTGATTTTGCAGTGCTCCAGAGGGAGAAAATGCTGCAGAAGGAGCCCACCCTTGCTCACTTGGAACCAGGATTCTGCTCACCTGCTTTGTTCTCACAGTGATACTCATTTTCTGCTGACACAAGGAGCCAGTATGCTCAAGGTAAGGGACTGGTCCCTGAGTCACTCTGCACAACATGAAAAATTACAGGACACAAGTTTCAGATTTGTCACTGCAGCACAGGATCTCTGGCTTGAAGAGGTTTGCTTGTCTGGGCAAGGAACAGAGCACTGATTGCTGTCCAGTCAAAATAATCTTGATTTCAAAGAATACTTTTAGTTAAGTTTTTCCTCAATGAATTACGGGGTGAGAATTGCTGCAAGAGTCTGAACGGTTCTGGCAGTCAGTTACAGGCTGTTTTTCCAGCTGTACTGCTTCTCTTGGCATTTTTCTGCAAGTTGAGAGAGGCTTTTTTTGGGCTCTCTGCTGCTCTCCAGGAATCCACCCATCCATCACTAACAGGGAAAGCAGAGCTGCAAGGGGAAGAGAGCAGCCTCATCTATGGATGCTGGTTGAGAAAGGGCATCATAGCCATGGTGATGCTGGGGGCTGGGACAGGTCCAGACCACCCTGCTGTCACTAGGAGAGTCCTCTGCTCACCCCTTTTCCTACATACAGTGTTTCTAAGCCCAAACCCATGGGGATTTCAAACCATGTTAGTGGAAATACCTTTGAGTCTCAGCTGAACTCTGCCATTCTTCACCACAAGAAGTGGCTGAAATACCACACACAGTGCTGCAGAGATAACTGGGGCCTGCCAGGATGGTGTAAGGGAAGAGGGGAAAGCCCAAAAGGCTTCTGGAGAATGTGGCTGCTGGGCTGCTCAGGCAGGGTCTGATTTACAGGCTGGAGCCATGGTGATGGTTATCTGCAACTTTGATCTGCTTTTGTGCTTATCTGCAACACCAAGCTGCCTTGTCCAGGCTGGGAGCAGCTCAGCTTCTGCACTCCAGCCACCAAGTGAGAAACCACCAAAACCACAGTCCTGGCTGCAAGGAGGGGGCAATGAACACCCTGAGTGCACTGTGCTGCCTGGCTGCTCCCATCTGCCTCTCCTCCAGAGCTGTGTTGCTCAGAACCACGATCCCTGTGGATGTGAAGTGCTGTGGTACAAAGCTGGTGGGGAATGGATGTAGCAGAGGCAGCAGATCAGTGCAGTGCTCCCAGCCAAGCTCACCCTCACTGGGCATGCTGCCACTACAAGCAATTTAATCTTGAGCTGCAGCTCATCGTGACCTCCACTGAAGAACTCCTTTTCTTTCACATGGCAAAGCTGCCGGCACGTGGGCGCACTTCCAGCAGCTGAGCTGAATGCATTAAGCTTGTGGGTATGAAATAATTGCTCTGGCTAATTTTAACCAAAAGGAATCCAGCTAACAATCAGTTGCAGGCTAGGCTGGAGGCAACTGAGCTCTGAAATGGTGTATCAGCCACAGCTCAGCCTGCAGGGGCTGTTAGTTTAGAACTAACAGGGCCTTTGACAGGAGCACAGCAGATCAGTGCAAGATTCCCCCTGGAAGCAGGTGCTGATTTCATCCAGATGAGCCATCGGTCCAAAGCGACTTTACAGGCATGCAGGGAGCACAGTCATGCATGTGGTGTGCAGAGGAGGTCAGGCTCATTCCTCCCAGCTGCTTTGCTTAGCTAATTACTAGCCTTGAGATCACTTTCAAGCAAAAAAAAGATAGAATAGATGAATAATAATATGGAGATAATATTTATTCAGATGTTCTTGGAATGCCATGCCTGGTATTGTAGAGATTGTTGGGATTGTTTGCTTTGGGGGAAAACGTATTAAACTCCAAGGAAAATAAGGAAAAAAAAAAATTTCTGTATTTATGCTGAGATTGGCCCTAACATTCCCAATCCATGATGTACTTGGGGTTATTTATAGAAAAGGATTGTGTACTAATGAAACCCCTGTGTTCACTCAACACAAGCCACTGTCGGAAGTAGACAGAGGGGATGGAGTGAGCTCAAAAACAAAACTATGTTGTTGTGGGGTTTTTTTCCTATGCTGGAAACTGAACTCTTCTTTGGTATTCAGAGCTAGAAAGCCTGTCTGGCAAAGTGCCTGCCTTGAAAAGAGAGATTTGCTCTTCTCTGACCCAACAGTATATTATCTCTAACCCGAACCATCCCAGTCATTTAAATGTAAATCACAGCAAAAGTAAGCTTTCATGCGTGTGGGCTTATGGGCTTGAGCAGAGCAGTGCCGGCCCTTGCTCAGCCCGTGCTGCCTCCTGCTCCAGCCCAGGAGGGGAGGGATGACACGGG